GGACAACAGAAAAGTGGGTGAAGGGAGACGTTGGACAGTGTATATGACAAAATAGTAATAATTTATAAATTATCAAGTGTTCATGAGGGAGGGAGAGCGGGGAGGGAGGGGAAAATGAGGAGCTGATACCAAGGGATCAAGTAGAAAACAAATGTTTTGAGAATGATGATGGCAACAAATGTATAAATGTGCTTGACACACAATGGATGGATTGTGATGAGTTGTACGAGCCCCCAATAAAATGATTTTTGTAAAAAGAAAGAAAATACCTTTTTCCAACAACACAAAAGGTGACTACACACATGAACTTCTCCAGATGGAACGCACAGAAACCAAACTGACTGCATCTGCAGGCGGAGACAACGGAGGAACTCAGTACCAGCAGCTAAAACCAGGCCAGGGGCTGACTGTGGAACAGACCATCAACTGCTCATATGGAAGTTCAGATTGAAGCTGAGGAAAATTAAAAGAAGTCCACGAAAACTTGAGTCTACCCCACCTGAACTTCAAGAACATCTCAAGAACAGATTTGATGTACTGAACCACCAAGACCATCCTTCGTGAAGAAAGCAAAAGACCATTAAAGAGACAGGAAAGCAAGGAAAGATCCAAGTGGATGTAAGAAAAGACTCTGAGACTTGCCCGGAATCACAGAGCAGCAAAGGCAAACGGCGGAAACAATGAAATCAAAGAGCTGAAGAGGACATTTCAAAGGCAAACCCCCAAAAAAAAACCCAAAAACAAAATTTCAAAGGGCAGCTCGAAAAGACAAAGTAAGATATTATAATAAAATGTAAAAGATGTGGAGTTGGAAAACCAGAAAAGAAGAAGCTATGCATATCTTAAACTGAAAGAACTCAAGAAAAAAAAATGCGAGCCTCGAGCTGCAATCTTGAAAGAGTCTATGGGCAAAATGCTGAACGATGCAGGAGCCACTGCGAGAAGATGAAAAGAATACACAGTCACTGTACCAAAAGGAATGAGTCAACATTCTACCATTTCAGGAGGTAGCATATGAGCAAGAACCACTGGTCCTGAAGAAAGATGTTCAAGCTACACTGTAAGGATTAGCCAAAAACAAGGCTTCAGGAATGGATGGAACACCAACTGAAATGTTTCAACAAGCTGATGAAGCACTCATAGAGTACGTACTTGTCTGTGACAGGAAATTTGAAAGACAGCGACTTGGCCAACTGATTGGAAGAGATCCATATCTGTACCCATTCCAAAGAAAGGTGACTCTATAGCATGCTCAGAATCTAGAACAATATCACTGATATCACATGCAAGTAAAAATTTGCTGAAGATAGCCAACCATGGTTGCAGCAGTACATCGACAGGGAGCTGCCAGAGGTAGTACAAGTCAGCTTCAGAAGAGGATGTGGAACAAGGGATAGCTTTGCTGATGGATCTTGGATGAAAGCTGAGAATACCAGAAGAATATTTACTTATGTTTCATTGAGTATAAAAAGGCATTCAATAGAATAAAAAAGAAAAAAAAAGAGTATATATATTTTTTAAAATAGGCACTCAACTGTGTGGACCATAACAAATTATGGACAGCCTTAAGAAGAGAGGGAATTTCAGAACATTTATTGTGCGCACGGGGAACCTGTACATGGATCAAGAGGCAGTTGTGTGAACAGAACAAGTAAATATTGTGCGGTTATTAACCAGCAAAGGTGTGAATCAGGGTTGTATTCTCTCACCATACTTATTCAAACTGTGTGCTGAGCAAATCATCAGAGAACCTGAATTGTCTGAAGAAGAATGCGGCCTCAGAACGGGAGGAAGGCTTCTCAACAACCGGCAGTACACAGATGACACGCCTTGCTTGCTGAAAGTGAGGAGGACTTGAAGCACTTGCTGATGAAGATTCAGGATCGCAGCCTCCAGTATGGGTTACAACTCAATGTAAAGAAGCCTAAAATGCTCACAACTGGATCAATAGGTAACATCAGGGTAAATGGAGAAAAGAGTGAACTTGGCAAGGATTTCACTGTGCTTAGATCCACGCTCACGGAATCAACGCTCAGGGAAGCAGCAGCCGAAGGATCAAAGAACACATGGCATTGGGTACATCTGCTGCACAAGACCGCTCTAAAGTGTTGCCAACACAGATGTGACTTTGAGGACTAAGGTGCGCCTCCCTCAGGCCATGGTATTTTCAATCGCCTGATATGCACATGACAGTTGGCCACTGACGAAGGAATACTGAAGACCCGACCCATTTAAATGATGGTGTTGGTGAGGACTTTTGGAAGTACCATGGACTCCCCAAAGAGCAAGCACATCTGTCTTGAAAGACGCACAGCCAGAATGCTCCTTGGAGGCAAGGATGGCCAGACTGTCTCACACACTCAGGACGTGTTACCAGGACGGCCAGTGCCTGGAGAAGGACAGTGGGGGGCCAGTGAACAAGAAGAAGGCAGCCCTCGAGGAGATGGACTGGCACAGTGGTTGCAACAACAGGCTCAAACACAGGAACCACTGCAGGACTGGGCAGTGTTTCCTTCTATTGCGCATAGGGTGCCTATGATTCAGAACGGACTCACCTCCACCTCACAATAAACAAACAACCAACGATCCAGCCTCAATGGCTTGAAAGACTAGAGGCCGGGAGCATCTGAAATTCGATTCTGCATTCCCCTCCTTGTGACCAGGCTTCTTTTATGGAATATTGGCTCCAAACAGTAAGTGAACAGTTCTTCTGGCCTCAGGGCAAAGGAAGCAGCCAGGTCCGTCCTATTCCATTATGTGAATCAGGCCATTATCTACTTAGTAAGAGCCATTAAAATCATTATCACATAATAAACGTAGGGAGAAGCCACCTGCTTTGAACTGCCGAGCCTGAATCAAAATGTCCTCAAAAGTTACTTT